GTAGGTATAAGCAAATTGATATTGGATTATGTGTATGTGTGTTGTCATATCAACTGTTTTTACATGCTTGAAAGAATAAATCAAATCAAATCAAGACGAAGCAGCCTACAGGAGGGAGGTGGCCAGTCTGGTGTCATGGTGCAAGGACAATAATCTCAGCCTCAACATGGCCAAGACGAAGGAGATGATAGTGGACATGAGGAAGCAGAGGAGTTTTCATCAGCCATTGTTCATCCGGGGGCTCGAGGTGGAGAGGGTGAGCAGCTTCAAATACCTGGGTGTCCACATCAGTGAGGACCTCGCTTGGACACTTAACACCACATAGCTGGTCAAGAAGGCCCAACAGCGGCTGTACTTCCTGAGGAGGGTTGGCATGTCCATTTACCACCGCAGGGTGCATAGGAGAGCTGCCTCCATCCTCAAGGACCCCACACACCCCCAGCACAGACCGTTCATACCCCTGCCCTCCGGTTGGAGGCTCAGAAGTGTGAAATGCAGGACCTCTAAACTGAAAAACTCTTTCTTTCCGACTGCCATCAGACTCCTAAACAGCTGACTCGGGATCTACCTCGTGTAATTCCATCTGTTCTGTTTACATACTCATTTTGCACATGCACAATTGTAAACTCACTGCTGAGTATTTACACTCAACGGCTCCCAAGTAGCATATATTCTTTCTGCATTATATTGTTCTTGTTGTATTTTATTTGCTCCCTTCACTTACTGCTTTAAAGTGCCTTAGATTTGTGATTTTACTGCCTATTTAGATTTGTGTTATTGCTCATCTACTTTATATTTCACTTGTATTATGTTACATTCATGTGGACAGCAAAGTAAGAATTTCATTGCACAGGGAAACACGTTTCCTAACTGTGCATATGACAAATAAACACTTTGACCTTGACCATTGTCAACACACTGGTGGCAGAACTGGTGCTAAGACAAAGTTGGCTACGTTAGCAGCATGCAACCCTGCAATTATCTAGAAATTACCCAGGGGAGCTGTATGTCAGAACGTAAATGTCCAAGTCAATTGGCCTGGACATTAAGTGGACTTTACCCTGCCAACTCCTTAATACAATGTCTGCGTAAAGTCCAAGTGAGGCCACAGCAGCTTATAATCCGAAGTAGTCACACCCAGCTAATGGGTGTTGATGACTTTCTATCACATGACCAGTGCAAAACCATTAGAATACAAACATCCTGTGGTGAAGGAGAACAGTCATTTAGAATGAAGATGTCAATAAAAATGTCTGACTGGAGATACGACCAGATTCATGAACTTCTGTTGTTAAGTGCTGACATTGAAATCGTCAGATAAATACAAGGAACGGCAAGAAACTCAGCTGTTTATGACCAAATGACAAATCACCTACATGACCATCTCATGTCCCACCCCCTGTTCTCTCTACCCAGCTAACCATGCTAAATTAAATCTTAAGGGATTACAATACATTATGGGGATCACGAATGCCTTTGCCATATTTTAATGGCAATTCATTCTTTAGTTGTTGAGCTATTTCTGCATGATGAAACTCATTACACTTTTAAGCTTGTAATTTCACTCAAAAACACAAATGTCAATCTCACAGTGGAGGATGAGTCATCAAAGTCATCAGAACTCATTAAAACCCATAAATGTAGCTGCAAATTTTTGAGGCAATCCACACAGTAGATCTATTTTTGCTGGATAAGTGATGCAAGCTTGGACCTCCAGGTTTTGCTACAAAGTCAGTGGATCACTAAATCAGTTCAGGCCTCACGGACAACAGTCACAACAACAATCCAGTAGTTGCCCAGACATTTCACTTGAAATTCCAAATGCCAACCTCATGGTAGCACCAGAGGAAAAGTCAGTAGGGTTCGCCCTCTGGGGACCTGTTATAGCACAGAGTACCAGTAGAAGCTTTTAATGAGGTGCAGCAAAAATTAAAAACTCCTACTATTACGGCTCAATATCATATCTTTAGAGTGATTATAGCTTTAAGCCAAAATGTTTGATTCAGTGGAGAGTTCAAGTGTTCATTAAATGCTTTCCTACAAGCTCTTTGCAAATACAATACCTGCCTATGCAAATTCATTCATTTATTTAAGCTGTTCTGTATATAATAAACACGTGGAGAGGAAACAGGAAAAATAAGTAATTCTATTGGTATGAGTGCATTTTCAGTGTGCAAATAAACATTTAGAAGTAGTAAAAATAGTTTGGGGACATAAGGGCACCGAATCTGGAGGAATGTGTCTCCTTGACCTTGATCACGTGCTGTCACTAGCCTGAGAACAGGCACTATCTCTATTATTAATCAGTGCACAGTACACTGGGCCGTCACATGGGACTGTTCTCTCAGGAACACTTCTCCCCCTCTGTCTCACGCCTCTCACGTTTCACAGGCAGAATGTGATACAGTTTCAGCCAGCACCTTTTTCCTCAAGTCATACTGTTCAACATGGATGCTTTGGTTAGATGTGGTGTGTAACATTGAAACTTAATCACTATAATCTTGCTAGGACATAAAGTATGAAAGGACCACTGGCTGGTGAACCTTGGCCATATAATTGATCAGAGCAGGTCTTTGGTCTAATATTTGCAGCTGAGCTGAGTTAAATAAACTCATGTCAACAAGACTGTGAAAATGAAAAGAAAGTAAAAATGATGCATAACTGTTGAAATAAGAAAAACAAAAACATAACAAGTGAGGAGATGTTGTTGAGTAACCAAACAAACAATTCAGAAAACCTCAGACAACAAAAGACACAAGTGCTCTGTGACCGTGTGTCAGTGTGCATTAAGTGGTCACCACATCACTGTTGTCACAGTCCAAGAAATGTGACTGTTTGAAGAGCTCTCAGTCGTGCAAGGCAAATGTCTCAACTGAGCAAACAAGTGAGAAGGAACATAAGGGTATGACTTATAGCACAGAACCAGAGGGACACAGTTTTATTTCAGCTTTACAGGGTCAGTCTGGTTTATTAAAGTCTCATACTTGCATATCTGTTGTCTCCAGTTATAATAAAGTGGTTTCACTAAGATCTTTGAACAAATAAACATTGCTAAAAAAAAAAAAAAAATTCCAACAAGGAAAGACACGTCAGTAGTCGGTTGTCAGGTAGCGCCATAGCCACCCTGCAAAATGTATGTACAAAATGTCCAAATGTATTAATTTAAACTGTACCAGATGGAAAAACAATGTAGATTCCACTTTATTATGCTATACTAAATCAAAATTACGGTTGATAAAGTTTTTGATGTATGATTGCTATTGTTGTTCTAGCCTGTTGTCATTATTTATTTAATAATATTGTAGTTTCAGATTTGATGTCATACAAATATACAAAACCCTGAAATCAATCACAAAGTTGGACCTGTTTCATATTTATGTTTCAGAATTATCACATCTCCTTTCTACACTAATATTTGTCCAAAATAAACAAATAAATAAAAATAAACAAACCAAATACATACTTACGTGAGTTTGACGTACGTGTGACGTAATGGGCGTGGCACGTTCTTTATAAACGTTCCAACGAAACGTTCTGACTTCCGTTTTGGTGGAACAGGGCTGTCTATAGGGTGTGTAATCGTTAGGCTAACGGCTAGCTCTTTCTTTATACAGGCTAGCAGCAAACATCTGTACTTCTGCAATTTTAAACCATTTAGGCGAAACCTTCAAGGCAACAACGTAAATGAACATCATTACCTCGAAGAAGTGGGCAGACGTTAACGTTACAACCGAAATCATGAGCCTTATTCTTCCTCAAAATGGAGTCGTGGAGGGATCCATGCACTGCGGCTCAAATACCTCACCACAGTTTGCCGTAGGATCTTCAATAGACTCTTGTAAAGGCAATGTTGGGCCCAATAATACTCTGAAACGGCCCAAGATCCTGGATGTCAGCTCAACAAATGGGTATGGAACAAAAACCCTTGTGGATGTCAGCGACATTGACAACGGCTCATTGCCGTGTAGTCCTGTGCTACAGCCGGATAATGAAATTGAAGTCTCCAGTTCCCCAGCAGAGTACGAAGTCCTGGAGAATGACACGAGGCTACTAATTTGCCACTTCCTTAGAGATTATACTGGACTATCTACACATCGGTGGACCCGCAGAAAAACTCTATCGACGATGAAAAGAGTTGTGGAGGGCGTTTTGGAAAAACACAGATACGCATACAAAGGTAGGAATGAACCATTATTTGTTGCTCACAGGCTTTAGCTGTTTCAGCCACACGTTGTATTTAACTTCTGCATTTAAATTCTTAGAGCAGACTCCATGTTTAAACTGCTGTTACAGCCGCTAGGAGCCATTTTACTCACAAGACGTACAAGGAAATAGTGCCTAAGTTAAATTTGAGTCAGTAGTCGTGTACTGATGGCTCGTTTCAGTGTCTGACCCTGGCCTTATTACTATTGTTGTTATTGTTTATTAGGCATGATCAACAAACTGTCACTGGACGAGAGAGGGGATGATATGAGTTTTGTCGGCTCAGTGGCCCAGAGCATCTTCGCTGATGGGACCACCAACTGGGGGCGGATTACCAGCCTTTTGGCCTTTGGTGCAGTGGTGTGTCAGTACCTGAAGGAGAAAGGCAGGGAGAACTGTGTGGAGTTGGTGGGACAGGAGATCTCCACGTACCTGCTGTCTCACCAGCGGGACTGGCTGGTTAAGAACAACGCTTGGGTGAGTTTCTACTAACGACTGAATGACGGGAACTAGCAGAAAAATGTGCTGGTTACATAACTGCACTCATTGTGCAACAAAGGCAACGTCTCTAGTGAACATTCTCCTTTGTCCCTGTGCTTGACTCAGATTGTTATCTAATATGTTTGTTTTTTTAATCCTTTGTTTCCAGGACGGCTTTGAAGAATTTTTTCGAGTAGCAGACCCAGAGTCTACAGTGAGGACCACACTTATGGCCTTTGCTGGATTTGCTGGTATCGGGGCAACTCTGGCCCTGTTGATCAGGTGACTTTGGACACTCAAGACTTTTTTTAAAAGAATGCTGGCATCTTCTTTTGACACTTCCATCAGTCTTTTTTTGACATAACATGGAAGTGACACTTGGGTCACTGCTGATATGTTGAAAATGTTGGCAGTTCCTTTGAGCACCTTCTATGACTTGAGTGTTGGTTGAGGAATAGGGGGCAATTTAACTTGCCAGCCCCCAGAACCATTAGGTTTTATTTAATTTACAAAGAAATTTATTTTTCTAAATGTAAAATAAAATCTTTCTATGCAAATGAATGGTTATGGGAAGTTAAACATATTTTTGCTTTGCTTCTTGCTGATTACTGTATGTTTACGAGTGAGTTCCAGAGAGTAATGTGTTTGTAAGCAAGCAGGAAGGGGGAAGCTGTGTTTTTTTTTTTTCCCCATGAAGTCCTTTTTCATGGATCCTGTTCATAACTTCTGGATTCTCTGGACACACAAGCCATAGGCATTGGCTTCACATGAGTATAGTGATACTTCCTCCCTAAGAAAATGTTGGATCTGCATTAGGAGGCGTGGAGCAGCCACATGCATGACCTTTGGCTATACAGCAACCTGGAATGAAAATATGAACAAGGACTCTTAATTTGGACTGATATCTGACCCATAGCTGCAAGTAGCTGATGGAGCATGGAGGAAACAGACAATGAATAATCTGTTCAGATCCTGCTGTAAGTTAAAATAAAGAAACAATCGAATTTGCATGTTTTGACCTTTTGATACTGTGTTTCTGTTAGGGCTCTTTTGCAGAGGACAAGTGACTGTGCACCCATACTGGTTATGTTGTGCTGAAATGAACTGCCCAACTTAGATTAACACCTATGCAGTTGTCAGCATTTGATGTTTATACACATCATAACCCAAGGCGGAGCAATGACTGCCATTTCCTAGAAATTTGATGAGGTTGTGGCAAGCGCTTCTATCACATTGAGCACTCAGCTGCATCCGCAGATATCTCCAAAGAGCTGTTGCACAACAGATGAATGCATGCACCAACTAGATTGTGAAAGTGGGGTAAAAAACAGTTCACAGCAGCCTCAAAACTGCATAAGGTGGTCCACATCCTGGGTACAAAAGTCCTAACTACCTAGAAACTGATAACATTTAAGTTCCTAATGTATTTTCTATTTTGGGTAGGTTTTTAATGCTTTGTATCAATTTGATGTGGAAGTTTTCTAGAGGTGACTGGGCTATACTAAGCTATAGCTTTTGTCAGATTGAGCTTGGGATTCAAGAAGGGTTTGTTCTTAATATGTAAAACCTTTAATCTTGGTATAGGCTCTATGATACCTGAAGCAGGGGAATCCTTGGTTATGATGTGTGCCTGCACCCTTGTTTGTTCAGATCCTCCAACTTGTCTTGGGTTACAGGACAAACAACACTTGTGGAGGCCTTAAGAGGAAATGGAGTAGAGCCTCTCCATGGTGATGATCCACAGTAAACCTCACCTGGTTCTCTCCTGCGGCTAATGATGTTGTCTACCACCCTGGTTACCCCTGCAGTTCATTGTGAAGAACAAGCTCCTACACAATGGGGAATTGAAGCTGAGGCAATTTCATAGAGCACTTTGCACCATACACAAGTGGGTTGAGGAGGCAGAAAACAGTACTGGAGTGTCTTGGGGCTGAAGCTTTTTATCAGTCTTGATGTGATTAGTGCGCATGTTATTTTCTCCTCTGATTAGACTCGGTGTTAAAAATGGTTCTGTTTCATGTTTTATCCATCTTGGTGATGCAGTGTGTGGGTTTAAAATTATCTATCAAGATATGCAAATAAACTGCGCACACACAAAGCAGCTGTGTCAAAGTGAACTCATGAAGTTCAGGTAACTTACCTTGAAAGCTTACTAGGAAGGCTGCACGTTATTGGAAAAAACTATTAGATTAAATCTTGGCATGCTTTTAACCATGCTAAATTGCTCTGAATTTGTACGTGACTATTAAAACTGCATCTGAAAATGAAATGGTTAAGTTTGGCAATGTCAGAGTTATTGTGTTAGTAGATCTTTAGACATTCCCACAATGGTCACAGCTGCTGTGGTTACATAGTGAGTTTCTTCAGCAGCAAAAGAACCATCATTATTCTTTCAGAACAACTGCACAGCAAACTAGAAGCTTTTACGGTGTTCCTGCTGCATTCGTTCTGTTTTAAGTGTAAATGTTGTGGTTGGAAAAAAATGTCAGCAGGTAGTAGTGCAGCCACTGCAGCTGTTGACCTGAAAGCATGCACAATCTTCCCATCAGGTGAATACATTCCTCTCATGGGATAGTTTAAGGAGTGGTTTTAAAACTATTATCAGCATGTACTTAACCTTCCGATACTGTGGGGAGTACAGCTTATATTCAGCTTAGTTCACCCACCAGGAACTGCCCAACCCAGACGGAACTAAATGTTATTCAAGACTACGCTTAGGAGAGTTTCTATGCTTTATTCTTTTGAATTTTAAATTAAATGAGTGGTTCTACACAGACTTTTTGAGGATATGACCCTTTTAGTGGCTACAGGGGAGGAATTCTAGACAAAAGTTTACATAATAGTTTGGACCAACCAGAACTAGATAAGCCACATTTCATCATGTTTATTACTCAAACTTTTCTTCATACTAAAGTTTCCCCACACAAACTGCAGTTTATTTGCACTTTGGTAATTTGAGCTTTGAGAAATGTCCCGCCTCCACTTCCCCGTAGCAACAGCCCGCCCCTTCATTTTAAAAAAAGCAACAGTTTCTGGGAAATCAGCTGACGCACAAGTTTATCTTTAACGAGTACTCGGCTGTAGTTACTCGTTAGATGTTGGAAATACTCAGAATTCTGACCCCTGAGATGCAAAGATAGGCCAAGTGTTGGCAGTCTGAAGTAAAACTGCAAAAGAGAAATACAACTGAACATATTGCACATCTTAGAAACATCACAAGAGTTTCTAGAGCTGCCTCACTGGCAACAAATTAGAGATTTGCAGTGTTTTTGAACTTCAAAGAGTCTTTAGTTCAATCTTAGCCTACAGTCTGTTTAAATGTAGAGAACCTGTTTGTATAGATGTGCAGCTCAGCTTTGTCCTGCTCCTTTGAGCAAAGCATTTGAGCCTCTGTTTTTAGTGGTATATTGTTTCCATGTTTGTTGCTAATCACTCATTGCTGTGGTGCTTCTGAACTACCCTTTGCAGAAATTACTTGTTACTCAGCGTAGCCCATACTGTCAACTACTTGTTTTTTTTCTTTGACTTTTATCCTTAGGTTTGGCTTAATTTTCAGCACATCCGTGATCTTTCACTGTGCTAGCACCAAAGCCCTAATTCAAAATTTAAATTAGGGTATTTGAAATTCAAAACATTGCCTCATTTGTGCAGGAAGCTTCCCTGAAAGCAGCTGTGAGACACTGGGATACACCGCCTTCATTAAATGGCAAAATGCCAAGATGTGCATATGTAGTCTTCCTGGTAACAGGCCCTGCAAACAAAGTATTCCTAGTTATGTGTTCTGATGCACAGGCCTCCACTCATTCCTACTATTATCTGTAAATAGATGTCAACACATTCTGCAGTTTAATCTTGTTCAAATTTACAGCACACACAGTGTCACTGATCCTGGTAGTGTCCTTTAAAGCAACATTTGAATTGATAAGCTGAGCCATAACAGCCTACTGAGCAATTGCATGCTAGGAGAGTGAATTATAATCCAGTGTGCCTTCTTTGTACATTTGCTTGTTATGCAATGAAATTATCTGCTGAAAGTTGGTGTTTATATGTCTGTAAATGGCACCTGCAAATCTGAGACTCAGACGTGTCAAGGTTAAGGCTATAACTTGCACTAAAACTGATTAGTTTATTAGAAAAAAATGATCTGTGCCAATTAAAGCTTTTAACAGGTTATAAAAAAATAACACTTGGTATAGATTTATAAATGTGCTGAGTTGCTTGCTCTAATTAGTTATGCCCAAGCTCTTGGTGGTTGTCCTTTCATTTCCGGTGCCACACTCACCTTACTCTTTGCATGTGAAACATAACAGGGCAATGCTTTTTGTCTAGGCTTGTCACAGAGTTTTTCATTGTGCTCTGATCATACAAATGGCTGCCGTTGTTTAGCATACATTAGCTTTTATGAGCTGGTTATTTAACATATACAGTATTGTTATGGGATGTAGAAAGTAGCTTTAAAAACAAGTCACAGGTCAAAGGACTCCCAGTCATCAGAGCTTTGATCTGGACTGTGGACACTGATTCTTATCACAGATCATGTCATGTGCTGGGTGATGTTTCATGCTCCTTTCTCATCCTGTCAGACTTTATTCTTTGACTGACCTTTCTCATCCTATCAGACTTTATTCTTTGACTGACCAGACTGCAGTTTGAGCTTATCCACGTTGGCAGTTGTGACAAGCAAGCTTCCTGCTATCATTTCTTACTACAGTTACTGACCTCATAAAATTTTTACCTTGTTCAGTCTTTGTTTAAACTAAGATCATACAGTTTAAGCAATACTAATCAAAAACTAATTCAATACTGTAGCTTGTATTAGAAGGTCTAAGGTAAAAGGCATATCCTTTTACTCCTACTGTATTTCACTCATGCTGTGCAGCTGTTACAGGTTTAGGATTCATACTACAAATCCTAGGTAGGTAGGTAGAGCGGCTCATTTCCTAACTGGAACATTAGCAGTTCAATTCCCAGCTTGTCCAGTCCACGTGTTGAAATGTCCCTGAGCAAGACACTGAACCCCCAGTTGCTCCTGGTGATGTCATGGGTGTATGAATTTGGGAATGTGAATGGCCAAACAGTGTGAAAGCGCTTTGAGTGTGGTGTGGAAATTTTTGTCTTGATTAATCCCTAAATTCAAAGTGATTTCTTCAAATTATTAGTTTTGCCAGTTCATTAGTCTAGAGCCCAAAGATACTCGGTTTACAACTGAATAAGGCAGAAAAGCAATAGACACTTAGAATGGAGAAGCTGGACTCAGAGAATGGTTGGAGGATTTTTTGCTTAAAAACTGTCCTAAACGACTGTTGAATTGATCAAATATTCTGCCGATTAAGGCACTGATCAACTAACAGTGTTTGAGTTCTGCAGTTCTTGAACCCTATTGTCATGTACAGTTGTATTTCACACTGTTTTCCACTTTGTTGTGAAATTAATGTTTTGCTGAAACAAGTACTCATTTATTCATAGATCCTTAATTTTGTTATTCTAAATCATATAATTTACATCCTTCAGATGCATCAAAATTTTACTTATCCTGCCCAGTGTGTGGATTTGTTTAGGGTCCTCTTCCTCCTGTGGTGTGATATAGGTGTGTTTTTGTGACTATTTACAATGATGTTGCAGTATTCTCTCCTGTCAAGTTGCTCAGGCTGCTGTGAGATGGCAGCTACATTATTTCTTTGCTTAAACAGAGGTTGTTATAACGTGCTCTTTCTCAGAACACAGTGTACTTTATACCAAGGTCATTGACCTTGCTCGGGATCACTGGACGTCTTCCCTGTTTTTGTGGGAAAGCCAGTTTAGCAACAAGGCCAGCTTTCTGTCTAGAAAGGGTGTGATGTTCCATGTATAAATTCCAATCTTAACAGACGGGAAGGAAGTAGGTGGATATGTGGTCTAAGAATAAATACAAGGCTCTAGCAGTGTATACATGGCACTCCTTAACTGGCACACTCGGTGTGTTTTTTTTTTCTTCCTCGTGATCAAGACTGTACATGCCGGTATTTTACTGAATTTCTTTTAATTTATTCTTCCTTATACTTCTTATTCTGCTTTGCAGATGACAAAAGACAACAAAACAGAAAATAAGATGTTTCTTCAATGGTGCACAAGAGAATCGGGAAAAATAATAATCCATTTAGGTGCACAAAAAGAAGAGGCAGAATTTTAACATGTAAACGTGACTGATACATTTGTAAATGCTTTTCTTTTGTGCATGTAAGTTTATTTTTCACCCTCAGTACATTTAAAGAAGAACTTGAGCATCACTGTGTCCAGCCTTTTTTCAGGAAAAGATTCCAGATCATCAGCAAAACCAGTTTACTGCCTGGATTTTGAAGTAACCTCGTTTTTATTCTTAAATATGGTGCTAAAAAGAAACCTGATTAAGTAACATGGGTAAG